GTGTGTGTGTGTGTGTGTGTGTGTGTGTGTGTGTGTGGGGGTGTGTGTGTGTGTGTGTGTGTTTGCATGTGTGTGTGCGCGCATGCTTATGTACGTGCACGATGCAGCGAGGGAATGTCGAGGAGCACACTCCGCGGGCAAATTGATCATGGAGCTCGCATATGAGAGCCTTCGACTTGCTCGCATGCGTTCTCGTGCGTCGACTTTTCCATGAGCTGTATCGGCCACGTTTTAAGTTGTGCGCGAATGACATATCGACAAAATAGCGCGCTCTGTAACCATGCACCACGCTATTCTACACTCATACTCTGGGTTCGTATGCATCGAGGCAAAGAGATAAATAAACGTGACTTCATCTCTAACATAAGCTAATCTTATACTTCTGACCTCTGACCTCTGACCTAGTGACCTCTGACGTGGTCGTTGTCTACACGGCCGCCATGGGCCGCTTATTATTTCTAGCAAAAAGACGATACAAGTTCATTTTTTTCCAAACTCTATTAGAGACTAGCGAATATAATAGGCGCGTTCACACTGGCGCGAATAAGCGGGATGCAAATCCCGGTTTTTGCATCGCGATCGAAATACCGAGATTATTACAAGTGTGAACGCACTAATACCCACTAATAATCGCGATCAGCATCGCGCTCCAAATCGCACTTTTGACTGCGATTATTTGGAATTAGCGCGATTATTTGCGTGTGTGAACGATCGCTTTGGAATTAGCGCGATTATTTGCGTGTGTGAACGATCGCTTTGGAATTAGCGCGATTATTTGCGTGTGTGAACGCTCGCGCAAATAATCCCGGTATTTTAGCGCGATTATTTGCGTGTGTGAACGCTCGCGCAAATAATCCCGGTATTTTCTATCCCATCATTCTAAGCGAGTGAGCAGTAAGCATGCGCAGTGAGCATCATTCCGGCAGTGAGCATGCGCAGTTCTATTAATAGAATTATCCCGCTCGGCGATTAGCGCGATTATTCGCCTGTGTGAACAACGACACAATTATCTCGGTATTTCATCGCGATTAGCATCGCGGTTTTTCTTGTGTGTGAACGCGCCTAATATGATAATAATATGACTTGCCGTAAATATTACTAATGGTTAGAACCAAGCAATAATTAAACAAACCAATGGTCATCACATTTAAAATTCATTATTTTCATAGCGATAAAAAAAAATTCATGTCAAATATACGCATCCACTGTTGAGCTGATTTTCCGTTTCTTTTGACGCAATTTAAGAATGAATAAATTTGCAATAAAAATTCTAATAAAATACATCACTAAGAGCAGTACTGCGGACGGACGACGTTGGAGATCACTTGTCACTGCCTTATGTGCCATCTAGGCACCTACGAGGGATAACTACCTAAGAGTGCCAACGCATAAACCACTCATATATGTTATGAAAAATATGCTATTAATTTAGGGTTGGGATATAAATAGTGATAGGATTAGATGTGAAATAGAATCGTACATGCATTTCATCTACTCCTGATGTAATGAGTATATTTATGATGTTTTTATGAACTGACGATATATACGGAACACGGGCATCCCAGAATAGGGTAAAAATAATATACATTGGGTGTATATACTCAGGCGTGTGTATTTATGCATGTGTAATCGTGTTTACGTATCTCTCCCATATACTCGCCCTCTTTTCTCCTACCCCCCTTCTCTCGTTCCCAATCTATCTCTCTCCGTCGCCTCTTCTTTTTCTCAGTGTGTGCTTGTACGTGCCAGACTGCTTTCCCTCACTCGTGTAGCCTACATTGGAAAACTAGCGTACGGATTTCGCACAGTAAAAGTCAATCCTGCGCCTATATGAAAACTGCACTAAATAAACCACATACACGTACACTACTATCACGGCGGCCGCACTGACAAGTTAGAAACAGCTCTACTGCTTTACCTGGAACCGTCAGGTCCATGAGGAAACCGACGGTGGCGCCGATCAGCGGGCCGCATGAGAGCGCGGCCAGCAGGGCACTGTCCAGCTGCTGGTTTCCCGTCTGCAAGCGATCGCTATTTCGCGCCGACCAATCAGGAAGCACGGAGCCCATCATGACGGCGACGCCGAGCACGGTCGTCGCCCGCGGCGTGCGCAGATCGACGTCGGCCGCGTAGGCGACGGCCGACGAGAAGATGACGCACGCGTTGACCAAGATGGCGCCGCCGATGACGGGGCGTGGCTGTACCGCGAGGATGGACGAAAAGCGGCTGAAGAGACCGCAGAAACAAAGCAGCAGACCGCCGACGACGGCGACCGAGCGGCTGGCATTCTGTAAAACAGTTACATGTTACACATGTGGCATTGTGCCAGCAGCAGCATATCTTAACGTTTTCTCGCGCTCGGCAAAACGCTCGCCCGTTTTTTTTCATGGTTTCGAATGCGAAAATTTCGGGGCGATTTAATTTCAACAGGCGGAAAGGTTGAAATCGGCTCGCATTCGTCATTTCTATCGCGTGAAACCGGAAGGATAGTGTGATTTACCTATCAGTCTATCCTGATTGACAGGCCACGCTATCCAATCATAGTTGTGATAGGACGTTCTCAAAGACAATTCATGTATGGCAACGAAGCGCCGCAAAATCGACATTTTGGCGTGCACGCGTAAGAAACTGCTCCAATAACTTAACAGACCTAACAACAAAATTAAAGATGGCGTAGTTATCATCTTCAGAAAAATAGGTCTATTAAAAACTACATAGTAATGCCAGGTGTACATACGGGAGTCCTTACTACGCACTACCGCATGTATTACTATCATCAGCGGTCCCGACTCACAATCGTACCTGGGTGATTCCAATCACTCCGATGTTAGGCGGGTGCGTGGTGAGCGGCAGGCCGGTGATAGAACCGCCGAGGATGCCGGACAGACCCTCCATGATGATGGCACGGTTGACGGCGTGTGCCGGCGGCGGCGGCACGTGCGTTACCCTGGCGACGGCGTGGTAGCAGGCGAGGCTGTTGACGATCGATACGAGCGTGGACAGCACGAAGCCGGCGTAGGTGACAGAGCTGACCGTCGGCGTGCCGTACTGACCTGCGGGGATCGCGATCATGATTATGGATATGGCGTTGATGACGACGACGCTGCTGCTGCTGCTGCTGATGATGATGATGATGAAAATGATGATGATGAACATGACGATGACGATGATGATGATGCTGATGATGATGACGATGATGATGATGATGATGATGACGATGTTGATGATGATGACGAGAATGACGACGATGATGATGATGATGATGATGCCGATGTTGGTGTTGATGATGATGATGATGATGGCGATGTTGATGATGATGATGATGATGATAACAGAGACGTACGTACGCGGGTGTAACGGATTTTTCTATTACAGTGGAAAATTTGAAAATTTGTATTTATCCAATACAAGGTCACATTCGGCCACGACTAAAGATAGAACGTCAATCAACCCCCTGACGCTACTCTAATGTTGGGTTACTAATTGCGTCATCGTAGAACATCCCATTACTTAATTTAATCTCAATTCCGACACGCGTCATAGTGGGTCTTGATACTCCGTGCAAACTGAAGCTGCGTCGAGAGCGTGAGTCACTCGTACCGGAGTGAAGCAGGCACGAACAATTAATGTGATGTTTAGCCCTGGTGAATGAGGGGGGTCACCTCACAAACGCGCTCCCGTACCTGGGTATGGTAAGTGGAACCACTTGCTGTTGTGTGCCCACTCACTGTAGGCGGGATCCGCGTATTGCGCTGGTGAAGCCGTGTCCGTAGGCAATGCTTCGGTCTCCGTCAGTATCACACACAACACCCAGACGATGACCATGCCAAATAAAACCTGTGCGGCGGTCAGGAATATGGTCGAAATCAGCGAGCATGTCGTGAGATGGAATACGAAAGCGAACACCTGCCAGATGTGCTTTCATTGGCGTAAGTGCTTTCAAATGCGTAAGCGAAAAACATGTCGGGGCATTACAGCTTATACAGCCCGATACTCATGTGAAATGTGGCAGGAAACCGAACGAGTTTGTTGAGTATAATGTAGAAGCTCAGCGGCGTATAATGTCGAGGTGAGGTGAAGAATTAAAAGTTACCACTCTTTTGTGTAAGTAGCACATACACGTACGCGCACTCGCTCGTGCCGATTTACGTACGTATATAAACGCATGTACACACGCACCTGTGCACGTAAAGCACATACACACACACACACACACACACACACACACACGCACGCACGCACGCACGCGCACGCACGCACGCACGCACGCACGCACGCACGCACGCACGCACACAAACACGCACACACACACGCACGCACGCACGCACGCACGCACACGCACACGCACACACACACACACACATACCGAGCAGGTCTTAAAAAGAGGATATCTGATGAAATAGAGCTTTCGCTTCTTTTGATACCAAAGCCACGGCACACGTATCTTCTTGGCGTAGATCCCAAACAGGCAAACTAAGCCAACGACCCTGAAACACCATTTCAGAGTTTAGAGGCTTTTCCCGTAGAGGCACGGACATTTTCGCCTGAAATATAACAGTGCGCATATCTAATGCCACAAATGCGTTTGAAAAAGTATATAAGGCCACAAAAGCGTTTGTTGAAACATGTAGTAATTATCGCAGCTGACTATGACTCTTCAAATGTTACTTCGACGTAAAATAAACGTTCAATGAGATGTCTACATAGAAGCCAAGCGGATGTAAACGTGTGCATGTGTGGAGGAGTGTTCGCGATATATATTTCTGCGCGGCAGTGGGATCTTGCATGTGCTGTGCATGCGACCGCGTCTCTGGAGTGTATATGCGCGCGTGCTTGCGTGGCAGCGAGTATACTCGCGTCTGTACGCTTCTATATGTCTATGTTAGCCCCACAGCTAATCAGGAGATCATAACTAAACTCGAAAAATAATCTTTGAGATTATTCTCCCTTGCGCGTATATATATATATATATATATATATATATATATATATATCAGCAGAAAATAATCTCGAAAAAAACCTTTGAGATTATTTTCCCTTTGTGTATACATTACTGAGCGGCATATAATATGTTATTATATTATATAGCTCAGCTGTTTATGTATTTATTGATATACGACTAGACTATCGCGACGCGAAAACAATCAGCTTCGGTGTAAAAAAAAAAAAAGATAAAAAGAATCGTGGCAAAGGTTATCGAGAAATACTCAACAACAACAAAAACGCTCGCCGAGCGGCATCGCAGCATCAGCAGCAGCTTCCCGGCGAGGAATGCTCCTCATCTACGCGCGCACTGCTAATTCACTTGCGGTGCGCGCGCAGCCGAAAACAGCTCCCGCTCCGCATCGCACAGTGACGATCTCGCTGAGTGATCACGACCACGTGCAGCGCGCTCTCGAATAATATATACCCGCACACTCACAAAACCGCCAGTGGCCAGCTGCTGTGTTCGCACAGGTTGCTGCTGAAACTGATGCTCGACATGGCGATTAGAATCACCGTGGGAGCGACGGTCAGCGGTCGGATGCGCGGAAGCAGGAAGCCAAACAGTCCAGAGGCGCCGACCACAACCTGCGTAATGGATGCCAGCATCACGCCGCCCTGCAACTAGAAGAAAAACGGATATGCGGGGTCGTCGACAAATCGAGAAGTGTCTGTTATCGGAGCGTAGGTTGTTGTGACAAGGTCGTTCTACGAACATCCGATGAAGAGGAGGGGATTGATTAGGATTGCCGTGAACGCACACCGATGCGCTAGAATTTCTCATGGTGGCTAAATGTTGGCCTAGTTTGAAATATAGACGCGTGTGTGCAAATAAGACGCTGTAGCAATATAGGATTCGCGTAAAAACGTCATTCTTCGATGTATAAAAAGTAGGAAAATCCGCTTTAGAATTCCATCAATACTGCAGCTGTAATAAATCGATGCCCACTGGTACGCGCGCGCACACGCGCGCACACACACGCGCACACACACGCACACACACGCGCGCTCAGTGGCGCCCGCAGATAGAAGCACTGGAAGCACAGTGCTTCGAGTAAATTTTGGGTTAAAAAATTTTGTTTCTACATTTTGTTTCTAAATCTCTCTCGCAAGACTCACCAGATTGCATCTCCAGACGTCTACCATTCAAAATTTTTTAGGGGGGCATGCCCCCAGACCCCCCTAGCATGCAGCGAGCCTGCTTTTTATTATCACTGAGGATTTTATCCTTCTGCGCTTCTAATTTCTTAAGACCTGTGGGCGCCAGTGCGCGCGCTCACACGTATACACGGACGACTCCATATGCACATGCGCGCAAAAAGTGCAATGATCGTATTTCATTTATACGCACCTCTCTTATCCGTGTTTTCCAAACACTTGAATCCTCATTAACGCTGCTGTTTTCAAACGTGTGGTTGAACGTTTCCATCTTTAATATATCTGTCGAAAGTAGCGGATGAAACGTGCCATCATATGCATGGTATGCTGTTTCGCCATATTACTTCACGTTTACGGCTGATATTAATTTGGAAAGATATAATCGAGAACTAACAAAAAAGTCGTTACAGTAGGTAGAGTGCAAAACGCACGGAATGGCTAGACGGAGCAAAAATTGAGTTACGAATGTAATCTGCTACATATATCTTTCATGAAAGTCAGTGGCCACGTTTAAGAAGCAAGCAAGCTAGCGGTTAGCACATAACGCGGCCATCTGTATGTGTCGGATACTTTAGAGACCGTGAGCCAGATCGTCTGCCATATACTAAAAAAATGAAAGTCAGTTGAACTTCAATATAGACATTCTACACGGTTTACACAAGATAACATTAAAATGGCAAGTGTAACCGCTGTGTCAAACGCGTACATAACATTTTCAGCAATTACAACGGCAATAATTAAATGCAATACGCTCGAAGGGCGGGTTTATACTGATTCAATATTTAGTTTGTTGAAAACAGCGACTGATCTGGTGAAACCGGAATGATTCCTATGTAATGCTCAGTTTAAAAAAGCAAGGTTCATTTGCAGTGCAATGGAAAACTTCGTCGAAACGGTCGTTATCAATGCGATGATAATATATACTTTTATTATTATATTCATATAATAATAAAAATTAATATATTTTAATTATTTAGTATAGTAATTTTATTTTTGTTATTTGTCATTTTTAAGAATTTTACGAGATATATCTGTTTACGACCGAGAGTGAACTAAACGTGTTTGAAAGTCCCGCAGAACTAAGTTAACAGAGCAATGTATCATCGAGCCGATATGAAAAGTTTGTGATTGGGTTCCAATCTTTTCTAGTCACAATTTTATACTTAGCTGTAGATCAAGCTTTCTTCATAAGTACGTGATATCAGTGTAATATATAGAAACTTAAGCCCATAACCCATAAAATGTAGTGTAGGCAATAAATAAGTCAGCTACCGAGCAACTGACGCCTTCGCGTCAATACTTACACATAAAGGCGTTACAGTGAGCGCGAGCGACGAAATAGAGTGCGATGGAAATGTTGTTCTTTTCCTTTTTATATGAGATCGTCAGACAGCAAGCATCCTAGCAAGTATCCCTCTAGAGATTCCGTATGCAGTGACTTTTCACTCGCTACCGTCAGTGTGTACAGAGTGATGATCACTGCTCTCTGACAGTGACAGTTATTATTCCGGCGACGTTCCCGATGGCAATTTGCGGCGTGCAGCTGGGGCCGCCAATTAAAATTTTGTCCTTGTCTTTCGGCACTCGCCTTGCCGATGACCTTTAATTATTTTATATTCAGTAACCGAGATATTATTTTCCCCGTTAATTTTCACACCGGCGATGAAGCGCTGCACATGCGAATATACACATAAGCACAGACACACGCGCCGCACATGCAAGTGCACACGTAAATGCGCGCACGCATAAGCGAGTGTGTGTGTGGGGGGGGGGGGGGTATTACCCCATTTGCCGCACGCCGTAAAGCCAATTTGTGATAAAAGATTTATGCTTTACCACATTTTATTGCTTTCCCCGCATCCAATTTTTGTTTTCATTTCAGGCCGCGTGCTATGCTCCTCCACCAACTAAAATGCGTTATTTTTCGCGGTATTTATGCTAGCGTGTGTGGTTATTTTAATAAGTCCACGTGCAAGCAGGTCGTTTAGGTTTCACAGTGAGAGCTAACTGCCCACGTGGACTACAACAGGTGGGGGCAATGTCAGAAAGTTTACTACATATACGAACAGTGATTGAGTCGATGAGTAGTTATGAGCGACGTGTCTGAGATTGGTATGGCATTGCAGTAATAAGCCTACCTGATGCGTTATTAGGACACTCCCATGTTCCTAACGAAGTGAGAGCGACAATAGGTAGGACGAAGCCTGTCGCTGGAGCCATCATTATAGGAAGCCTAAAATTATAGTGAGCGACGCCATGAGAAGAAAATACAAAAGCAAAAAGAATAGCAAGGCTTTTGAGTCGTGCAATCAGCCAGATAGCAGATTCACCAAAGCAGTAAATACCAGTAATCTACCTCCCGTTAATTAATAATATTCCCATTTATCGTCTGTCAGGGGGTGCTCTCGCCACCTCCCCTCCCTGCGTTCTCCTCTCTCTCTCTCTCTCTCTCTCTCTCTCTCTTCTCTCCTCTCTCTCTCTCTTCTCTCTCTCTCTCTCTCTCTCTCTCTCGTCGCTCGCTCGATCTCTCTCTCTCTCTCTCTCTCTTCTCTACTTCTTCTGTCTTCTCTCTCTCTCTCTCTCATTGCTTGCATCTTCTCGCTCTGCGTCGCTCTCTCTCTGCTCTTTCTTTCTCTTCTCTCCTGTGTTGTGTGTGTTGTTTGTGGGTCGTGTGTGTGTGTGTGTGTGTTTTTGTGTGTTGTGGGGCGGGGGGGCGTTTGTGTGTGTGTGTGGTGTGTGGTGGGTGTTGTGGTGGTTTGTGTGTATGTGTGTGTTGTGTGTGCGTTGTGTTTTGCTGTGTGTGGCAGTGGCCACGCAGCGTGTGGTTGGTGCTGGTAATGTGTGTGTGGTGGGCGGGTGTAATATTTTTCCTTCTTCTGCGTGAATCTCTCACTCGCCTCTCTATCTGCTATTCTCTCTCTCTCTCTCTCGTCGCTCTTCTCTCTCTCCTCGTCTCCCTCTCCTCTCTCTCTCTCTCTCTCTCTCTCTCTCTCTCTCTCTCTCTCTCTCTCTCTCTCTCTCTCTCTCGCTCGCTCGCTCACTGGCTCGCTCGCTCTCCCTTTCCTTCTAGCTTTCTCCCACGCAATCCTTCTCTCGTTCTTTTCCTAGATCTCTCTCATCACTTTCCCTCATACGAGTTTCGTCAGTATGTGTTACCTTATGCCGAGCACCACCTGCGCCACCGTAGCGATGCCGGCGACAAACGCCATGTTTCCGAAGAGCTCCACTCGCACGCGGATGTCGTCATCGTCAGCGCACAGGGATCGCGACAGCGTTAACGACGACAGGTAGACGCCGCCGATCGTCACCAGGAGATGCTGGTTACCATAACAATGCATACATTACCATAGCAACGATTATATTGACGCAACAACGCATACATTACCACAGCAACGCGCACTTTACTTCGTCACGAAGACAGAATATTGTTTGTGGATCGACACGATCTTTAGTCATCCTGCATGCTTCTCACAACGCCCATGAGTAAACAAGTAAATACGGATCACCTTGACAATAATGATTTTGACTATAAGATTTCATGCGTCATTAAGAATTCATTATAGATTTTACATTACCAAGTTCGCATCACATTGAATATTCATCAATGTGTGAAATGTACGGGAGTACGAAATTTCTAATGAACAATTAAATTTTATTATAATTAAGACATACGGAACTACGGAAGCCGGGCTCTCCTAATTACTAGGTAGTCATGGGTCTAGAATCGTGGCTATATATACGAATTCGCAAGTGTTGTGATGAAACATATTTGTAAGCATTACCTGTAATCCAAAGACCACGGCCAGGTACCAGGGAGGATCATCACAGTATCGATATACTAAGCTACTTTCGGATGTGAAGTCATCATCGTCATGCATCAAGTCCCGAGACGTTCCAAGCGAAACTGGGGCGCTAATCTGTCCACTATGGTGCGCTTTGCTGTCGGACTCTACAGGTCCTGCTTATAGAAATTATGATGCGGTGCTCTAGTTATAATTATTTATTACTTACATTACCTCGCATTATGTGTTATTGCATTATGTGTTATTGCATTATGTGCTTTACCACAGTGAAATGCATTACACACAAACTGCGCAGATATCGCGCTAAAGGTGGAGTTAGTGAGTAATAATAAATAATCTTTACTATTATGATAGGTGATAGTATATTATATTAAAAACATGCAAAAATTTTGGTGTTTGTAGGCATATTGGCGTATCCTCACATAGCTGTACAACTGCATTAGAACAGAGTGTACATCAGGAATGGATTACGGTTTCATATTATCAGAGTCGGTCTCCTACTCAGTCGTTCCCACCCTCGCTCCCTCTCCCCTCTACATCTCCCACACAATTCACGGCCACCCTCCGACCTTACATGTTTCCCTACCCGCTTCCCTGCCTTATTCAACACTACCTCCCCCTCTCTACTTATTCTACCTGCTTTCCTCCACCATTAAACGTCCCTACTTTTCTCTATCCCATTCTCGCTCAGTCAGTCAGTCAGTCAGTCATGCAGTCAGGCAGGCCCATCCGGCCGCGAAATTTTTTTTCCCACTTGAGTTCCGGACCACAGCAAATCAGCGCACTCCATTCCCTCGACTTCCTCGAAGCAACAATGTAAAATGAGTACCACCTATACCTAACCCTAAACCGTACACGAACCCTAATACTAACTATAATCATATATATATAACCATATATATACGAACCATATATTACACAATACACTATCTATGGTGGGTCCGGAACTCAAGTGGGGAAAAAAATTTCGCCATCCGGCCGTCTGTCAGCCCATCGCTAAAATTTACTAAAAGTGAGTAAAGTGGTCGCGGTGCCGCCTCAGCCGACGCTCGACGTCTTCATTACACGGGCGAAGCTGCGCATATAGCTGTTGAGCTTTTTACTTAGACGGAAATAAAAGCGTGCGCGAGTTTTCGTACAAAAAAGTTTTCGCGCGCGCTTGCCGATGCCTAATCTCCGTGTAAGTTTCGCTCGAGAGCCTATATAGCACGAGAGCGAGCAGGAACAGCCGTTTCACATGTTAACTCCTACATGCGCTCGCGGCAGACGCGGGGACCACCGCCAGCCGACTACGTGGTGATGACGTCAGAACGCGTAGCAGGGATGACGTGAATGTGGGGCGGCCCTACGCCACAAACACGCACACACAAACACGCACACACACACACACACACACACACACACACATATATATACGCGCAAGCACATATATACGAACACAATCACACACACACACACACAATGATAATGAACGAACGAAATAAACGAAATATATACGAATAAACACAAATAAACGCGCAGTTTCACATTATATATACGTGCTGGTTACGCGGTAATGGACAGAATCAACGAGCAGTCAGTCGTCCCATGGCATTTAGCGAGGCATTGTCGGGAGACGACTAAATCAATTCGCCATAATAGATCGCGTTACAAACGGATGAAATCGCGGGAGATATAGCTCGTGTGGAACTGCAGTGCTGCCCCGCACGGGAAGCAATTATCCGCCATTATTTATGTATGCGGTCGGCTTCACGGTAAACCACTGGGAAAAACAAACTGTAGTTAGAGAAAATGCTACAACGCTGAGCGAGGAATCCATAAATGCTGTGATGACTGGTCGCATTTATTCTAAAAATACAAGTGACCATGCGTACTTGCATCAAAACGCAAATGGTCCTACTTTATCAGAAGTCATTGGGAAATTCACAATTTCCTACATACGAGATGCGCTTATTCGCATGTTATCGGCACAGGTAAATAGATAGCTGGTATCCGATAGTGTTCGAACCAATCCATTTTAACAATTATAACACGTCACGGCGTCGTACACGCGCGTACCAACACGTCACGGCGTCGTACACGCGCGCAACCACACGTCACGGCGTCGTACACGCGCATGCGCGCAGACGAGCGTGCGCCGCTTCAGTTCTCCGTAACTAGCACGTTCGTCTGCATCGCAAGCGGCGTTGCAGGCGGACGAAAATCTCACACTGCCATCACTACGGCGATCCGGCACGCGCACTGGCAATTACAGTCGATGCCGTCGTCGCTGGCAACTTTTCGCACGGTCGATCACTTGCCAGCTGTATTCACTCTCGGATAAATAGTCAGTTGAGAAGCCCTCTCGTAGCAACGCACGCACATAGAGCGCTACCACCCTCCGCTCCCGCACGAAAGACTACTTAGTCAGCTACTAACAACAACAGCTTCTAGCACGCGCGTGATCGGCGTTAGGCTCGGCACTACAGCACCACCAGCTACCCGAATTAGAATGCTAGGGTTGCTGAGGAGCATTATATAGGTCATGCCTAGCAAAGCCGATGTCGGCAACAGGGTACACAATTCGGCGCGGTAATTGTTTCAACTCTTTCGGCGCGTCGAAAACGACTCGCCTGCCCCGCTAAGCGAATAAACCTACAACGGCACATCGTGCGCCGTGTTCGTCTCAACATGGACCTAGAGCACGGCGCACCCGTGAGTTATTTTACTCAAGGAAAATGACGCATGAGTCATTTTACTCACGTGCGCGGCGGATTTTCGTTGAGTAATTTGACGCATGCGTCATTTTACTCACGTGTGCGACGGATTTTCGTTGAGTAATTTGACTCATGCGCCATTTTACTTGAGTAGAATAACTCACGTGTGCGACGGGCTTTAACACAGGGTAGCCGGCGAAGAAATGGAGAGCGGCATAATAAGAAACACTGGGCGTGCACACAGGATAGCAAGTCCTCACTTTTTGAGGCATTGCACGCCATCGCGGGCCACGTTCAGTGTAAGTAACCACAGCGTGACTTCACGCGGTTAAAAGGCGCTTGGGAAATTATGGTAAACTAGAGAGGGCAGTTGTCGCCAACTACATGTATCCCCCGTGTTCTCCCCAAGATGTGCAAGTATACGAAGTTTGGTCGCGCTAGGTCAATTAAGGGCTTGAAAGTTAGAGCAGAAGGAAAATATGATAAAGGTCAAGGTTAAGGGTCAAATAAAGGTTGTGGTGACCTGGTTTCGGTACGCGAACACCTTCTCCCCAAGATTGTAAGTATACCAAGTTTGGTCGCGCTAGTCAATTAGGGCGCGAGTATAGAGTGGTAAGAAATATGATCAAGGTCAAGGTCAAGGTCAAATAAAAGCCGCAGTGACCTTGTTTTGGTACACGACACACCTTCTCCCAAGATGTGTAAGTATACCAAGTTTTGGTCGCGCTAGGTCAATTAGGTGTAGGAGAGCGCAGGCTCTCGCATTCCCACACTCCCTGCACCCTCGCGGGGTCGGGGATGGGTAATATTCCCCAGGCATCATCTCGCTCTACCCCTCTTTCGCAAAGTCGCATTTTAGCCTAGCCTCCACATCCGATTCCCAACTCTCCTTCTTCGAGCTACCTTTCGCCAATCTACCTTACCTCACCCGCCGAGCGCCTCCGCGAATCGCAACTCTAAGGTACGACAGTATACTGTATTCAATTACGCGTCACGCGCGGCGAGTCTTACGACGCGGAGACATCTGTATAGTATCATATGATTGTGTTTGACTAGAGTGAAATAGACGCACGAAGAGTAGCTTTCATAATACTGGCTTTCTGTTATCTATCGACGCAACAACCTGTCACTACCCTTAAGGCGACTACCTCGCACATGCCAAACCGTGAACCTGGTAACGGGAGTTGAAGGACTGACTTATATAGGGGCCGAGTTAGAGAGCGGAAGGAAATATGATCAAAGGTCAAGGATAAAGTCAAATAAAGGTCGCAGTGACCTGGTTTTGATACGCTCCTCACCTTCTCCCCAAGATGTGTAAGTATACCAAAGTTTGGTCACGCTAGCGTCAATTAGGGTCGAGTTATAGAGCGGAAGGGAAATTCTCTGCGGCGGACCGAGCGGCGGCGGCTGGGGAGATATGAAACCATAGTATCCCCACCGACTTCGTCGCGGGGGATACAATAAACACAAAATGTGTTTGTTACCAAAGTCTTAATGTCTATGTGCTCTCCATCGCCTAATAATTCCACGTAAATGGCGTTAAAATGGTTGTCTCCAACAACTGTATGGTGTTGCTTTAGTTTTTTTCATTGATCAGCTTGCTGTCATCCCATATTAATATTGTCATCCTTACTCTTTGGTTTATTGCAAAATTTAAGCTTTTTCTACTGCAATCCGTAGTATGACCTGTTTATTTGATCAACATTAACTTTGAACTTGATAAAGTCCCTTTGACTTTGAAGACTAGTCTTTTTGAGGTTATGAAGTTACATGCAACGTCAATATAGAGGATGGCATCATAGATATAGAATAGAACTTAGAAGAAACTGCTGCTGGCGCTACAAATAGTCAATAACAGTGTCACATATTGGAACAAGATTAGCTAGTGAAATCCCTCACGAGTCTGTAATTAGTTCAATAAAGATAATCGTTGATATAACAATCATAATGGATGTAAAATTGCATTTGCCAGCATAGTAGTCTAACCTCCGTATGAAAGCCAGCGTATACCGACGTACGAAAAATTTGGTGAATACGCTGGCGTACGTCGAATAAGCTTTGGGTAAGCTTTGTATAAGTTAAGAGCACGCTGAAGCACGCTGAAGCACGCTGGTATACGTCATAGTACGGAGAGCGCATCGGAAAATGCGAGTGCGTCGGAAAAACCAGCGTGCTTCAGCGTGCTCTTAACTTATACAAAGCTTACCCATAACTTATTCGACGTACGCCAGCGTATTCACCAAATTTTCCATACGTCGGTATACGCTGGCATTCATACGAAGGTGTGACAGCGCCATAATGGAGATTCTGAAAATTATTAATATCACGCCTTGCAATCGCAATGTACAAATGACACATATCAAATTGTAGATAGCTATCAACTGATAATCATATCTAATTATATTATTTGTTAAGAAAATATGCACTGGTACACTTCTTATGTTCACAGTAATAGGTATTACTGAAATGTGAAGTACAATGTTTTTCTGTAATAAATCAGACTTGTGCACTTTGTTTCGTGAATAACCTCTCATTTGACACTTAATAAGTCCACACTTCTGATTCCTCACGATCTATATTAATATTATTTAATGTTACAGGGTGCAAGATGTTAATTATGGATAGCCAAACAAAACAACGAACAGTTGGTTCCTTCACGCAAAACTGAAGTTTGTGTATTGTAAAACTAATATTGCATAAGACAGAAAAATAAATTAATTTTTCAGTCCACCAAACTAAACATGTTCATCATTAATACAATATCTCTGGCATAGTAGGCCCATTGATTATGCAATGTTGACGAATGCTAGAGTAACTGGCACCTTGTGTAGTTAATAAGTACATAACCTTATAGCCAAACACGTATTAGTTTGTCCAATATCACTGCTGGTTACATTACAAACAAGACTTGAAATCGGTTGTTGATATGTATCAACGTATCATTTACGTGCCGTAAATGTCATCCAGGAGTCAAGCAATGACGTAAACATTTGTGCGGCCCATATGTTTTGAACGCCAGATGAAATCGAGGTGTCAGCGGTGTAACCACGGACACAGACTAAACATGGAAATGGAGTAAAACACACGTACTAATCACGGACGCACGTGGACAGCCCTGACAAAAAGTTCCTTATCACGAGCGTCCATGTTTACGAAACCACTGATGATAGCATTGCGTACGGCCAAGCATGCGTGCGAAAATTTCCGGTGCACTATAAATCTGTATCACACCCGCTTCGCCGGCAGCGGTTTGAAACTGTAAACAACTCATTTTTGAACTGCGGATTTCAATTAAACATTTCTTAGTAACCAGCAGTGATATTGGACAAACTCATACGCGTTTGGATGTAAGGTTATGTACTTATTAACTACACAAGGTGCCAGTTACTCTAGCATTCGTCAACATTGCATAATCAATGGGCCTAGTATGCCTTTAACAGACAAAACATTGCCTACGTTAATTGAAAACAATTCATGTAAATAAGGTTGAAACTTGGGCACTTCACCCAATGAATCAAACTAATTTTCGTTACCTACACACAAGAATTGTTAATCAACATAACATTATATCATTGTGACATACATTAGATGATCTTACTGCTGAGCGATTCAACACATTGATGGTAGTATTTGAAACAACACCACACACATTTATATGTATCCCAGCTTTAAACATTTATTTAATTCTAGTATGAATGTTGCCCATCTTGACTAGACATGGCAGATGTATGGTATATTTGATCAAGTGTTATCTGCCTATGCTCCTCCCATTGTTATCGCAGCTCCTGATTGGCTTGTATCTCACAATGGTGCAACATCACAGTGGTTTCACAGAAACGCACATGCGTCTAACATGCATGCTAGCTCTTCTTCTTCGGTTGTGGATATCGCTTCAAAAGACTATTGAGATGTTGCGAGGGTAATCGACCACCAATAGCCTCTTTGATAATACCCTTCGCCTCGTCGGCTTTCTTCTTAGATTCGGTTTTCTGTAAGCACCAGAATGTTTAATAGGCATGGAGAACATCATATACTGACATCTATAGTAAGTTTACAAATGAATTAAATTGGGTACATATTAACAAAACCAGTTAGGAACCATGGCATTGAATTTTCTATTCAACTATCATATCATTCTATTCTAAGATGTGCTTTGCAAACAAACTATGTGGCAAAGTATGCAGTAAAATATTCCTGGCTATTGAGTTTGGATGGTTACTGAAAAGGTATGCAGCTATATGGATTGATGCCTATGTTGCTGAGTTAACCTATGGTTGCACTGGAACATCTATCAGTTACCTAATTTTATGTGAAGTCAAATACAATGATGTATATATACCAAAGAACAAAAAAGGAGACGCATAGAGATTAGTACATATATTTAGTTTAAGTTATAAGTACTTTACTGGGGACATAGATGCATTTACCAGCACAACACCTAGACGCTACATGAAATAGAAACTTACCAAATGGCTGTTATAGCATGTTTCAAATGCTGTGATCTCAGCTGTGCAAATATCCTGGCTGAACTCATTCTGTTTCATGCAGGAGAGCATCAATGTCAGCTCATTTATACATACTTTTCCTGAAAACATTCAACATTATATCAGGAGTGAATTAATGCAAAGGAATGGACAAGGCTATATTATTGGAAATCCAAAGTTTGCTAGCCCAAATATAGTTAAAGATTTAGTGAGTGTAACTCAACAACCCTGAACTCGGAATCCACTGCAAACATTCCCCTTGCATTGTAGGCAATTGGTTTCCCATACACTTTCATATTCAGCAGATATACCTAAAAATGCACAACACAGTTTTCAAAGATTTGCGCCATAACATGAGAGGTGCATACATGTACGTTATTTCAAACAAAACACTGTTTTGTGCATTTATCCAGTGACATCAGAAGCTAGGTTGGTTTGGGGAGTCTACCAATTCCTATGCAATTACTTCATACCCGATAATATGTGGACTTAGCTTTACTTTAGCTCTAGCATTATAGGTTCCACCACTACCCATTACAGATTCATGTAGTGTGAAATGATGGATGCTACCGTTAGGTTTAAATTAACAACTATTATACTGTCTGCAGGAAATGCCAAATCTAAAGAATTATTTCTTTGTCTATTAGAATGTATTTAAACTCTCTATTATCGTCTTTTAAAACGAAGATGATGGAGTGAACCATCATTTCAATATGCTACGACAGCCTTTGATAAAGTTTTAGTGATCAAGTTCAATAAACTGTAGATATGTACGCTGGCACTGAATGATATTGCTCTGTGCTACTACGTTCTACTCTGAAATATTGAGAGTGTCTGTTGGCTTGCCTTTCTATTATATTTGCAGTGTCAAAGTCAATGAATTTTTTTTAATGTAATTTTCCTTTGGGATTAACAGGGAGGGATGGGACGAACCACTCAATCACGTTGTAGAGGTTTGGTGACCCTGTGTCGTGGGTTGGAAGGTTTACACTGGCTAGCATCTTATTATGGCTGATAGGGTCTATGTCTCCCTGGGTACTGCCGGAACGTACCCTGGGTACTGCCGGAATGTAACCTGGGTACTGCCGGAACGTACCCTGGTAACTATCTAATATGCCGGACCATACCTCGCCTACTCCAAACCGTACCCAGTTTTCAGCCCCCTCGACCGACTGTTGGCAGGAAGCGTACCGCTTTACGGCAATAGTCTAGGCTTGTTTCCGGTACATGTGGTGCATTTCCCGCACGACAATACGTTTCCAACTCCCCATCTTCGCTCTTCGTAACCCTTACCCTGTTGCGTTTCACCTCCCGACCCTTTCTACAAATGTCAGCGAGTCTATACATTTCCAACCCATTAAGATAATCATACACATTTTCCTGTTCCACAACACTTGCCACCATCTTGCAAAAATCTCGCATGCGCAGTGTACGCATGCGCGAAAATGTCGTAAACATTACGAAAGGAATTCTGGCGTGCGAACGCGTGACGTCACCGGTATTGTATATACATGCACCATAGCTGCCATGTGTTTTAGCTACATATCCGGTGCATGTATATACAATACCGGTGACATCACGCGTTCGCACGCCAAAATATTTTCAAACAGGATTGCCAGTAGTGCTTACTTTGTGGAATAAAAGGATAAATACATGGTGTAAAGTTGTGTGAAGTGTTCAAAAAAATAGGTGAGATGTCCATGTAATATTGCTCGCTCGCTCTCCCTTTTCGTACTCCCTCGCGCTCTCTCGTTCTCTCAACCTCTCTCGTTGTCTATCGCAATCTTTATAGCACATTGTAAATGACTTTCGCGTTACCAAAACAACTCGCCAAAACAACATACAGTTGCGTGACTTTAGCGTGACCTTACAGGAAACTCACGTACGTACATACATAGATTCGCGAAATATAATATACTCATGACCGCCGCAAGAAATATTTTAAATCATTAAGACCGTAGCTCATTACTTGGCGGGGTGACAGATGGAAATTTTGTTAGTGTTGATGTCTGCGCCGAGGAAGCCTTGATCGTAGATTCCTCGATACCCCCGTAGCGTATGTATCGGTAACGGCCAGTACAGAAATAATTAGACGCACTAAGCCTGTCCTACGTCAAACGAACCGTCGCAAGGAATTCGGTTTCCTCTTCGCAGCTGTGCATAAGCGATTCGCCTTCGCTTACTATCCTATCGCATCTGAAAATCATTTGCCCGAGCAGCGTTTTTGCTAATTGTATGCTCGGTTATAAGTCGGCCGATGCCGATAGACGCCGCGGCATGACGACGCGGGGGCAACAGCTGCCGAGTCGCACGCCGCCGTCGCGCACGCGTTACAACAACACCGCATCGCATGCGATGCCGCCGCGTCGATCGGCACTATAACTGCTTACCGAGACCATCGTCGCTGTCCGAGTCGTCGTTCATCGTCGTTCGTCGCCTCGTCCTACAGCTGGATCTCAGCCGATGACTGTGTGTCCATTCCACGACAGTGTCGCCACGAGGCAGGCTCGGCTCCGTGTACTCCCAGTGTTATCGCGCTATGCGGCGGCACTGCGCACCCAAGCTGAGAGAAGCCCGTCGATCGGTGTGCGGCCAGCACAATAGCATCCTCTCACGGAGAGAGGCAGAGACGAGGCTGCATCAATACGTCACGGCGTCGTACATGCGCGTACCAACACGTCACGGCGTCGTACACGCGCGTACCAACACGTCACGGCGTCGTACACGCGCGCCCAAGCAACACGTCACGGGCGCGTACATGCGGCAGCGGCAACAAACGTACGGCGTCGTAACACCGCGTACCAGACACCGTCACGGCGTCGTACCCGAGCGCGCACAAAAAGCGTCACGGCGCCGTACACGCGCGAAACCAACACGTCACGGCGTTCGTACACGCCGCGTAACGCAACACGTCACGGCGTCGTACATCCGCGAACCAACACGTCACGGCGTCGTACACGCGCGACCAACACGTCACGGGCGGGTCGTACACGCGCTTTACCAAAACAACCGGTTTTCACGCCGGCGTCGCCGCGCCGGCAACACAGTCAGCGCGCGTACACCGCGTAACACGTACTCACACGGGTACACAAGTGCAACGGTCGTACGCCACACGCAGGCATCAGCGCGCGCGCGCAGACGAGCGTGCGCACGCCTTCAATCTTCCGTAACTAGCACGTTCGTCTGCATCGCAAGCGGCGTTGCAGGCGGACGAAAAATCCACACTGGCCATCACTACGGCGATCCGGCACGCGCACTGCAATTACAGTCGAGCAGTCGTCGGCTGGCAAACTTTTCGGCACGGTGCGATCACTTGCCACTGTCATTCACCTCTCGATAAATAGTCAGTTGAGAGCCCTGCTCGTAGTCAACGCACCAGATAGAAGGCGCTACCACCCTCTCGCCTCCGAGCGAAAGCACTACTTAGTGCACTCAACTAACAAACACAAGCTTCTTAGCACGCGCGTGATCGGCGTTAGGACTCGGCATCTACAGCACCACCAGCTACCCGAATAGAAAGCTAGGTGCTGAGGACATTATATGGTCATGCCTAGCAAAGCGCCGATGTCGGCAACAGGGTACAACAATTCGCGCGGCTAATTGTTTCAACTCTTTCGGCGCGTCGAAAACGACTCGCCTGCCCCGCTAAGGCGAATAAATCGCTTACAACGGCACATCGTGCGCCGTGTTCGTCTAACATGGACCTTAGAGCCGCGCGCAACCGCGTGAGTTATTTACTCAAGGAAAATGACGCCAATGAGTCATTTTACGCTCACGTGCGCGCGGATTTTTCGTTGAGTAATTGACAGCATGGCGTCATTTTACTCACGTGGTGTGACTGACGATATTTCGTTGAGTATATCTTGAGCTCTATGCGGCCATTTTAGCTTGAGTAGAATAACTCACGTGTGCGACGGGCTTTTAAGCAACAGGGATAGCCGCGAAAGAAATGGAAGCGGCATAATTAAGAAAACACTGGGCGGCTGCCAGCACGAGAGAAGCAAGTGCCCACTTTTTGATGGCATTGCACACCAGCGCGGCGCCACGTTCCCAGTGTAAGTAAACCAACAGCGTGAACTCTCACGCGCTTAAAAAAGCGGCTTGGAATTATGGTAAAAGCAGAGGAGGGCAGTTTTCGCCAAACTACATGATATCCGCCCGTGTTCTCCCCAAGACTGTGCAAGTATAATCGAAGTTTGGTCGCGCTAGGTCAATTAGGAGGCTTGAAGTTAGAGCAGAAAGGAAAATATGATAAAGGTCAAAGGTTAAGGGTCAAATAAAGGTTGTGGACCTGGTTTCGGTACCTAAACACGCTTGCCTCCCCAAGATTGTGTAAGTATACCAAAGTTTCGGTCGCGCTAGTCAATTAGGCCGAGTTATAGCAGTGGTAAGGAAATATGAATCAAGGTCTAGGTAAAGGTCAAATAAAAAGCCGCAGTGACCTTGTTTGGTAGCACGACACACCGTTCTCTCCAAGACTGTGTAAGTATACCGAATTTTGGTCGCGCTAGTCAATTAGGTTGTAGGAGAGCGGCAGGCTCTCGCATTCCCAGCATCCCTGCACCCTCGGGCGAGGGTCGGGGATGGTAATATTCCCAGGCATCATGCTCGCTCTACCCTCTTCTTCGCAAAGCGCAGTTTTAAAGGGCCTAGCCCCCAGCATCCGATTCCAACTCTCCTTCTACGAGCTTACCTTTCGCCAATCTACCTTCACCTGCACCCCCGAGCGCGCTCCGCGGAATCGCACTCTAAGGTACGACATATACTTGTATTCAATTACGCGTCACGCGCGCGCGAGTCTTACGACGGCGGAGACATCTGTATAGTATCATACGATTGTGTTTGACTAGAGGAAATAGACCACGAAAGAGTAGCTTTCAATAATAACTGGCTTTAATGTTATCTATCCGACGCAACAACCTGTCATGCTACCCTTAAGGCGACTACATCGCACATGCCAAACGCGTGAACCTGGTAACGGGAGTTGAAGGACTCGATTAATAGGGGCCGAGTTAGAGAGCTGGAAGGGAAATATGATCAAGGTCAAGGTAAAGGTCAAATAAAAGGTCGCAGTGACCTCGGTTTTGATACGCTCCTCACC